CCTCGGACGGCCATCCGGACACCGGCTTCAGGCTTCAGGGTTTAGGGGTTCAGGGGTTTAGGAGTTGGGTTTAGGGTTTAGGGGTTTAGGGTTTAGGGTTTAGGGTTTAGGGGTTCAGGGGTTTGGGGGTTTGGGGGTTTAGGGGTTTAGGGTTTAGGGTTTAGGAGTTTGTAGGGTTTGTTCAATTAGGTATAGGGACCTTAATAAAGAGAATAGGGTTCCCTGAAGGGTTCTTTACAGAACCTTTACAGAGCTCTATAAAGGTAAGTGTTTCCGCAACCCTCTCTTCAACCCTAAGCGCAGAAAGCTGCTACCTAGAGGGCCATTCGCACCTGCACACGTTGAGGGTCTGGAGTAACCGCCCTATACCCCAAACCCCGTGCAATCCCGGAACTCCAAAGGCTTTGATCCAACAGCCTTAGACCATAAGTCAGGTACAAAAATATAGGGGCCTAGATCAAGAACAAGTTTCATTCGTCAATATCACTTTAGGAAAACTATAGTAGACTAGGCCCCCAAAGCCCAAAACACATATTCCAATTATTAAGCTTAGTTCCCCAACACCCAACCTTATTGGGGAAGTAATTAAGACCCCTATACTCAACAATGCTTCCCACCGCTTCCAAAGCTCCTAAACCCTGACGATTCCTGAATTCGATCCCCCGCAGAAGCCGTTGGCCGGGACATAGGGTTTAGGCGGGGCGGTGTTCACCGCCTTGAGCTTGAGAGTCTTTTTGGTTTGAGGGGTTTAGGGTTTCGGTGTAGGGTTTAGGGTTTAGGCATTGACAGTTTGCCTTGGTTCCCTAAACCCTAAACCCTAAACCCTAATTGAACCCAAAACCCTAAACCCTATTTGTATACACACACACACACCCCAAGAGGTTGGCTATATTTGCGGTTGAGTTAGACTGGGCTTTGGAGTACCATATTTTAATACTTTTTTGGGGAGCTGTTCCTTAAAGGAACCAATATGAAATAAAAGTCTATACTTTTTCCCCCTGGTTACTTCAAAACCCCAGTAGATGTAGAGCACACCAGGTTAGTGCTGGTGCAAATTATCCAGTCAGCTACTCGGGACCTCACGGCTTCAAAAACCACAGAAGGAACTTCTTTGGGCTTGGAGACACTCCAGTCTGCGGAGTTATTGTTGTCTTTGGTCCTCTATTCTGCAATCATCGGAAAAATATCCCACTACGTATTATTTAGGATTAAGGTTTGGGTCCCTAGATAGTAACAACTTTATCTTCCAATATTCCCGACTGCCCCTGAATCCTACACCCGACAACCTCATTAGCACTGTTATAATAACTCTGTGGTGGCATTTCTAGAAGCTTGGCTGTATCTAAACCCTAAACCCTAAACCATGGCATCCTCATAATATAGACTTACTTCCCCAATACCCAACCTTTAAAATTTTTGGGTTCTTATGATTTAGTAGTTAGTAACCTGAAAGCTTAACCCTTTATTTCCCTGGCTTATTGGGGAGGTAAGTAGAACTCCTAAACCCTAAACCCCAAAACCCTAAACCCCTAAACCCCTAAACCCTGAACCCTAACCCCCTAAACCCCTAAACCCATAGCATCCTTACAAGATCGAACTCCTGGGATCGCCCTCAAAGAACCTTAAAGAGATGATGAGTATGAGTAACCCCCCTGGAACATTGAGGGTATAAGCCCTAAACCCCGAAACCCAAACCCCTAAACCCCAATCCCTAAACCCCGAAACCTTAAGCCCTAATGCCTAAACCCCGAAAGCCAAACCCCCTAAACCCCAATCCCTAAACCCGAAACCTTAAAGCCCCCTAACCCCGAAACCCAAACCCCCTACACCTGATTCCCTAGACCCCGAAACCTTAAAGCCCCCTAAGCCCGAAGCCCTCCTAAAGCCCCTTGAATTGGAGGACGCCAGCCCTGCATGACGCCGTGCTCGGAGATGCGGCCGCCGCGGCCCGTCGTCTCCTGGCGTCCGCTGAGGCCTCGAGCTCAGTTAGGTAGGGTTTAAGGTTTAGGTTTTAGGGTTTCGGGTTTAGCGTTTAGGGTTGCCGGAAAGCTGAAACCTTAGACCCTAAACCTTACTTGGAGGTTCATGGGTAGTTCTAAGTGGGGTTTAGGGTTTATTAGGGTCTAGGGTTTGGGGTTTCAGGTGGGTCAACCCTAAACCTTGTCTGGAAACCCACAAAAAGGGTTTAGGGTTCAGGGTTTAGGGTTTAGCTGAATACGGTTTAGGGCTTATAGGGTTTAGTGTTCAGGGGTTACTTGGAGGTTCATGGGTAGTTATAAGTGAGGTCATAAGTCCCCTAGTGGCCCTAACATGGGCTATAAGTATAGTTACCCTATTACTTACAATTCCATTTATACCCCCAAGTAACCCTCAACCCTAATTGATTTCAAGGTTCGTTTTTTAGGCAGGCTTCTACAAAGGTGCTCTTTGGGATTGTATTGGGTTTCAAGGTTCGTTTTGTTGCAGTTGCTATTTGCAGGGTCGTGCACGAGGGGTTGTATTGCATTTCATCATGACTGTTTTATGTAGCCTTTACTGGGTTTCGCAAGGTCTAGGACATTTTCAGGTGGGTAGTTACCGTTATAGGAGCCTTGTAAAAGGTCTATATACCTTATGGAAGCCTTATAGAAGCCCTATATACCCTAAACTCCCCACCTGTAGTTTCCTGTAGATACGGTTTAGGGTTTACAGGGTTTAGTGTTTAGGGTAGGAGGTTCATGGATAGTTATAAGTAGGGTTATCAGTCCCCTAAGTAGGCTAAACCCTAAACCTTAAACCCTAAACCGCGGGAAGTCCCAATTAGAAGGGCATCCCTTGTAGGTTTCGAGCACTAGGACCTCCTAACCCTTTCGGGGTTCAGGGAGTTGAGGGTACTTGGAGATTCGTAGGGTTTAGGGTGTAGGGTTTAGGATTTAGGGTACTTGGAGGTTCATGGGTAGTTCTAAATGGTAACTATACTTATAACCCCATATTAAGGGGACTTATAATCCCACTTATAACTACCCACGAACCTCCAAGTAGGCCCTAAACCCTGAACCCTGAGCCGTAGGGGTGCCGAGCACGACAGAAGAACAGAGCTCAAGCCAAAGCTCCTGCGATGAAGGAGCCGGGTGTGCCAGCAGAGTGACTAAGCTGCATTAGCATCGGGGCCTTGATCATTAGAATGGGGTTTTGTGGTATATTATACTATATATTATGCTAGAAATGCAATGAGGAACCCCCCAAACTCTATGCTAATTATTAAGGACATGTGACGGAGCAGTTTGGAAGCAACATGTGGTTGTTTTTGCTACAAAGTGTTAGGTAAGACAAGTTCATCATTGCTGTTCTGTTAAGCAGTCGGGCCTTCAAACCGTCTAGAAATGACACTTGCACTCTACCCACGCCCGCGGTACGCTTGAGTGCGCGCTTGTGCCATCTGGGAGCTCTAAAACCAGAGTGGGATTACTGGGGACACGATGTGCCGCGCTTCTCTCTCCTCTGTGCAGTCCTTGGGAGAGAGTAGCGCAAAAGCGTGAGCGTCAATAGGACCACAACAGATCCTAGTCACACGTACAAGCACCCAAGGAGGCTTGCTCCTAGTCTTCGGAACACCCTGCCGTCACAGTACCCCTACATTAAACAGTTTCTACACTCTCGGCACTCCCTTTTCAGTTGAACCTCGTGATCCCGAGCAACTTCTTACTACAAGTTCTGATCATGTCGCTGGGAGACAGACGGGGCCGCCCTTTCCGTCTCACGAAGCAGCGTACTTGTACCAGGAAGGTGTCTGTGGGCACATGAAAAGTAGCAACAATCGTAAGCAGAATGAGCAAAACTGCTCCGAACAGCACTCGTAGTCGCAGTAGCAGTTCTTTTCGGCACTGCAACACTTAGTTCCCCAATACCCAACCTTTAAACTTTTTGGGTTCTTATGATTTAGTAATCACCTGAAAGCTTAACCTTTTATTTCCTTGGCTGCCCTGGCTTATTGGGGAAGTAAGAACAAGTGTGACGCATTGAAGTGGATGGCAGTTGTAAGTCTAGGCACTTGGTAGCACTGGGTTACCGCTCCATTGCAGTGTTTGTTTGCATGAAGCCATACTTGGGGGGTTCATGGGTAGTTATAAATAGGGTTATGGGGTTCCTTTAAAGGGTTCTGTAGGGTTTAGGGTTTAGGGCTAGTTATAAGCGGGGTTATAAGTCCCGTAATAGGGGTTATAAGTATAGTTACCCTAGTTATAGCCCCATTTACAACTACTCCAAGTACCGCTCATGACACACACATAGCGGCCGCCTGTTCGCATAGCCGCGCTTATGAACATGCACCAGAAATACCACAACTTGCTGTCTTCCGAAGTTTCCAGAGCGTTGCAAGACATTGCCCGGATTTCTTCTGGGGATGCCGATGTCTAGGGCATAGGGCCATAGGGGAGACATCATGATTTCTAGTTATTGGGGGAGCTCTATATCCGCGCTGTACGGCCCGGAGTCGCTGTCGGCTTTCCCAAACCTTGAACCAGCATCCTAGACCCTGAACCCTTCTAACAGCATATCACATCATATCATAGAACAGGACGGGCTGCACAATACAGTATAGCAAGGTATAGTACAATGTCAAGCATAATATATTGGAACAGACATATCATTTAATGTCATATCATTGAATATTTGTCATATAGCAGACTAGAAATAATAGCAGATAAATATGTTATACACCGCGCAGTACAGTACAGCACAGTGCAGTATGTGCTATCATGTAACATAATACCATAGAATAATATATCGTATGACGCAATATCGTATAATATAATACATTGTAATATTGCTTTATTCAATCACATAGTATAATTCGACATGGCATGATACAACTCAGAATATTGTAACCGCAACGACATAGCTAGTTTAGCATACAGTGTTAGATTACATTCTACCAGTTTTATGTTGAGATACATTATGTCATAATATGGTACAGTATACATTATGTCAGAGTATGGTACATTATACATGAGCATGTCACACTCTATTAAATCATACTATATTATATTAGCTTGAGTATTCATACCCGAACACCTCAGCCTTGAACCAAATACCAAGACGTTCTTACTTGGAGGTTCATGGGTAGTCATAACTGGGGTTATAAGTAGGGTAACTATACTTATGACCCATATTAGGGGACTTATAGCCCCACTTATGACTACCCATGAACCTCCAAGTACGTTCCCGTAGCAAGCGTTCATCTGAAAGGCACTGCGCCGCTCTCAATGTCTCTGCCTCGAAGATGACCCGAGCCGGGGTGCCCAGGAGAGACCTGCGCCATCGGGTTACAGGTTGAGTTCTAGGTTTGGAGTCCCGCTGCAGGGTTGTGTCACATGGTTGAAGGTTTTGAGCTTGGGTTTGGACTTTCAGATTGAGGGAGGGGTCCGAAACCTGGAGAATCTACGATGAGGGGCTTGCAAAAGCAACACAGCAAAGAGATCGATGTAAGGGAAAACATGAGCCCCATGGTGTTCACAATCTACTTTAACCCGTCATGGCGGTGCTAGCAGTAGTGGGTTTTTCCATTCAGTAGTCGTTATGTCGGTTATGTAGTCGTCCCTAAACCCGAAACCCTAAACCCTAAACTCTAAACCCTAAACCCTAAACCCTGAACCCTAGTTGCAGCTGTGGCCGGCTGTGGCTGTAATGATAACGAGGAGGAGAAGGAGGAGGGGCGATTCCTGACGCTGAGCATCCGGCCCTCTGCGTCATCAGGAAAGTTGGGGTTTAGGGTTTAGGGTTTAGGGTAATCCCTTCCCCCATTTATTAAATGCCCCCCTAATTATAAAAATACATCGGCCTAAATCTACCCAGAATGAGCCCCGCCCTTTAGAACCCATTTTGAATTAGGGGGGGGGGTTAGGCAGCAAGCAGCAGCAGTAGCAGCAATACCAGCAGCGCAGTAATAGAGCAGGAGCAATTAGAGACGCAGG